CCCCCCCCCCCCCCCCGGTCCTTGCAAAAAATTTCTGCTTGAAACCGGTCCCTGGTACAAAAAAGGTTGGGGACCACTGATTTACCTTATAAGTGGTAATAATATTAATAAAAAAAAAAGTTCTGAGCTACCCTTATTTTGCTTCAAAGTTTTTATTTAGAAATTTAATTTTTTTTCCTGAAATTTCCCTCTTAAAATGAAGATGCGTGTTATACGCCTGTGCGTGTTATACGCCGATAAATACGGTACTTAGAAGTGTTAGTACTGCCTGTATCAAATTAGGAGAAGTGTTTTCATGCCATATTGCAAATCTAATCCTGTTTGAAAAGTTAATCTGATGAATCCACAGAGATGGTGTCACTTCTTTTTCCTTGTAAATGAAGGCACATAGTAGCAGTGCCACATTTTAAGATGCAGCTTCAGGCTTTTTCAGGATGATAGATGTTGTTAAAGGACTTGGGTCAATTGAAGAATCTATAGGGAATATTAAAGTGAATTTTATTATTGTGATTATTCTGAAGAATCTAAATTTCTAGGAGTTCATTCAAGCAACTTGAAATATAATTTTATTCATTATTTATATGCAGAGTAACATAGACTACAAAAGGAAAACACTTTCTTTACAAAATTAAATTTATAACAGTACAGAGAGCACCTACATCTGTTTCTTGTCCTTTTCAAAACCAAATAAAAATTGTCAAATATACTTAAGCCTTTCTGTGATTTGCTGCCAGCCTTTAATCTTACAAATTCTGTGAACTTTCACATTTCAAAAGGCATTTCATATTTCAGTAATTCAGCTCTGTATGATAAACAATACTGATTTATGCAACTTGCATGCAATTACAACTTGTTTAGCAGTGAAGAGATTTGTTATTAATTTTGGATGTTCTTTCTACAATATTCCTGCTAATAGGCTCAGTAAATTAATCTTTCATTTATTAATAGGAAAGAAAGATGAGAACTGAGGACTGGGATGCAGTGGAGTGGAAAGGACAGTATAAGATGTTCAGTGGATAATGTTTCTAATATAAATAGTACAGGAACCGATAAACTTGAAAATATGCCCTAGTTTTCAAATATGTCCTAGTTTCCCAGGAACCTAGGATTTTCCTTAAAAGCATTATTTACTGTCAAAAATAGTAATGTTAGATAATACCATTATAATTCTTCAACACTGTAAAAGAGAATTGTATCTATTCTTGTGATGCTCTTCAAATTAATGATGAAATCTAATATCTTGTGAGTTTTGAAAATAGAAGTTTGCTTACAAATTGTTTGGTCAAATACTTTGGTCAAATTGAGATAATATGACTTTTCTGACCAGAGGAATTTTAATAAGTTATTCACAAAGAATTTTCTGACCTTAAAAAAAAAAGGAATCTAAGTAGTCAATGTATATTTTGCCTTTGCAACATCTGCCTGGCTGGAGCATCTTCAGCAATAGTTTCATCCAGATGATCTGCCCCTTTTTAATGTATAAAACTGAATGTGCTGGTTTAGATTTTAACATCATGCCCATTCTTACCTAAAAAAACTAACAGCTTTCAGATTTTTATTCTTAAACTTTCTTTTTCTTGTTTAGTGGAAACATCCCATTCCTAAGAAACCCAAAAGTGTAAGAATCTATGAATCACATGTGGGAATTGCTTCCCCTGAAGGGAAAATAGCTTCATATAAAAACTTTACATACAACGTGCTTCCAAAAATCAAAGATCTTGGTAAGTGATACCTGTAACTTCTTTCGAGGTAACTTTTAATGACACGTGCTTTTATTAGAAAGTTCATTTCAAAAGTCTCCATATTGATTTTTAATGCATCATCTCAGTGGAAGAGCCTCAGTGGCGTAGTGGTTAGAGTGCAGTACTGCAAACTACTGCTGACAGCCAGCTGCCTGCAATTTGAATCCCACCAGGTTGACTCAGCCTTCCATCCTTCTGAGGTGGGTAAAATGAGGACCCAGATTGTTGGGGGCAATATGCTGACTCTGTAAACCGCTTAGAGAGGGCTGTAAAGCATATAAAATTGTGTGTACCACACATTAAAATAGCAATAGCACTTAAGTGCCATTAATAAAAGTTTTCTTTTAAATTTGTGGGGTTTCATCATTAAATTATACTTTTCCCTTCAGATTTACTTCATTAACATCATATAAAAATATTTTGAGTGGGATAAGGGACAAATAGAAACTTTTTTTCTTTTTCTTTGGTGCTCTGAACTTTCAATAAATTTCAGATCAAACTTCTGTTTCTTTAACGTTTGTTTTTTAAAAGAGATTCCTTGAGGGAAATAAATTTGGAGGAAAAAAATGTCAATTAGAAATGGAAATGTTTAAAACATTAAGAAGAAAAGCACAAAGTTTAATATATGTGTAGTCAGTTACTTTTATGATTAACACTGTAAATATCAAAAGTGCAGCTTAAGTTCAGAACATGCACATTGGGATACTTAATGCTCTAAAGTCAAATTACAATTATATTTGCATATTATATATTTCTTAGTAAAAGGCCAATATTTCAATGCACTTAAAAGGCTGCTTCAAATGTCGGCTTTCCTAGTTTTGTTTTTTTAAAACACTTCTTTTAGGCTTAATTTATTAGGTTTCCTGATAATGTATTTCTAATTTATGTCTTGATAAATATAGAGGATCTTGACCAAAATCAGTTGTAATATTAGCCACTGTTTTCTTTAAAAAGCACTGTTGCAATCACTATTTTTTTTTCTAAAAACAGGATACAACTGTATTCAGTTGATGGCTGTGATGGAACATGCTTACTATGCAAGTTTTGGTTATCAGATCACAAGTTTTTTTGCGGCATCAAGGTATGCTTTATTATTTTTGCCATTTTATTTTTTCCTCTTCATAGAAAGAAAGACCTAAACCAATGAAAAAAACAAAATTGACTAACTTGATCAGGGAGGTATGTTATATGATGGACTTCAGCAGTAGTAGCCACCAATGAACTTATTGTCCAAAATGGAACAATATTTCAGTGACTGTCATCCTTACATATTACAAATAATTGGATATTGATTCATTGATATCAAAGAGCTTAACAAAAGGCAGCTTCTGCAGTTTTCAACTTTTCTTATAAAGCCATTTGACTAATAAATAAATAGTATTGAACATAAGGAAGAAACTGAAGAAAGTAGTAGTAAAGCTGAAACTATTTTAGGGGCTTGAGTTTTTTCAATCCTACACCTCAATACTTGTTCATTTCAGTTGAAAAAATATATATTTTCCAGATTTCAAAATTTCTGTGGATAACAGCAGTGTCCAGATAAAACTTCAAAGCTGGGAACGAGGCAATTGAGGGAATATATATTGAATTACTAAATTATTTTAAATAAATGAATATTTGTATTGATCTGTTTTAATTGTTTTGTTTCCTTTGTTGGGTCAAGATAATATACAATAAAACAATACATTTTATTTTTAATTCATTATCCATATAAAATTTCTTCAAAGACATGGAAATCAGGGGTGGGATGCTACCAATTTGGTCCAATTCTTTAGAACCGGTAGCTCTGAAGAACAGTAGACACCGAACCAGTTCGGTGTGACAACCTTTCGGTTGTCTGTTTGGCCCACCTGCCCGCCCGGGCTCTTGGCTGTCTTTATTTCCTGCTTTTTCAACCTCAGCTGCTTTGCACAGCACAGCTGAGGTTGAAAAAGCGGGAAAGAAGAGGATTTTCAAACACTGAGCACCTGCGCACAGCGCTTGTCAGGTGTCCAGGTGGCACAGCTGATGTTTTTTGCAATTGATTTATATGTGCACGCAGCGCGTGCACGTGCAAAATGCACTCTGACCAAACCGGTAGTAACACCGGTTGAATCCCACCCCTGCATGGAATAGTTTGTTTCTCTACTCTGATAATTAGGGGGAACTTGCACGAAATACATTTATTTTGGATTGCTTGAACAAAGACACTGTAATTTGAAAAAAAATCCTGTATATATAGATTTGTTTATAACTGTAATTAATCCTAATAATGTTGTAAACTAAATCGATTTTAGATTTAGAAATATTAAAGTTCTAAAATAAATATTTAAGCATAAAGCATATGAACTTTCACATGAGGTAAAAGCAGTTGATTGCTAAGTTACATTGTTAATTGCTTGAGTATCATTTTAGATTCAAAGCTATCTGAAATCTAATGACTGCCAGCTCTGCATTTATAATCAAGAGTTCTATCACCAGATAGTGTATTTGAGATTAGAACAAGCTATCTTTGTAGCTACAGCTTGTCCTTCCAACATTTTTTGACTGCAATTCCATTTCTAGATACATTCAACATACACTGCATATGCTGCTGAAATTAAAGCTGCTAAAAACATACTCTTCTAAAAGTCAGTTTGAATGTGAAGTAAGTTATAATTTCCTTTTGAAATGACTGAAAAGTGATGCAAATTAAAATTTCAGTCTTTCATTTCTATGGTACTTTTTACTTGTGAAGTGCTCACAGTCTATATCTTGTATGTTCTTCACAGCATTCATATAAGAGAGATTGAACTTACTTTTTTCCTATGACTTCAGAAAGTATCTAATGATTTGCTTTAGGCCTCCTAGTGAGTTATGTTTTCACCTTTCTTTTACTCTGAGAGTCAGATCAGTATAGCAGCATATAAACAAAGAAAATATAAATTTTATTGAGTTAATACTCTGTGTAGGTTAAACTGTTGTTTGTTTAGCCTAGTATTATATCACATGATTGATGTGCCTTTTATAATCGTTTGTCTTACCACTTGCTTTTCTTAAGCTCTAATATATAAAATATCTTCTATGCCTCCCTAATATGCTGCCATTAAATAACAGTTACAATTCTAGTGAATCATAATAGTAGTAATCATGGTGACTTAAAAAAAATGTTGTATACAATTAATTCTAAATGTTTATCCATTTTAGTCGATACGGCCCTCCAGATGACTTGAAGGAACTGATTGATGTTGCCCACTCATTGGGAATCACAGTTCTATTAGATGTTGTGCACAGTCATGCATCAAAGAATTCTGAAGATGGCCTGAACAATTTTGATGGTACTGATTCTGCATTTTTCCATTCTGGTGCTAGAGGAACACACATTCTTTGGGATAGCCGACTTTTTGACTATGCAAGGTAGGTATAAATAATATAAGTGCCACTGCATCTAATTAATTTATATACCCATAATCTAAAGGTCATTTGTTTTCATCTAATTATTAATGTGTTGTGGGGCTGTTTAAGAGCAACAACATTAAGAGCTTGTGAAAGATGCTGCATGACTTATCCAAGAGAATTTAGTAGTTGGGCATTGACAAGCAATTTAGCCAATTTGATTAACTGATGAATATTTGTCTGATTGTGAAAATTAAAGTAGCAGATAAAACTGTTTATTTTGCAAAATTCCTCTGGTAGTTTGACAAACCAATGGAGCATATGAACATTTCCCCCCAAAAAAATCTTATCTGCATCATCTGGATAATATTTATGAAAAATTGTTGGAGTCCGCTATCGAATAAAATTTTATATATGTAACCTGGACAAACAAATGTAATATAGAATGGTTTTATTATTGTTTTAGTTGCCTTTCATAATATTCCACTCCATTTTTCTCCATGCTAGTTTTCTTTCCTTTTTCCTCTGCCCTCACCCCATCAGTTACCGCTTCACTTGCCCACTAAGATCTGCCAATTCTAAATTTTTTATTTTATTTTTTGAAAGGCAGATAAATATTTTTCATCTTTGGGTGTGGAAAATCATTGCTATTTTTCTTCTTTCATATGTAAGTTATTTCTTTTATATACGTGTGTATATATCTCTATGTAAACAAAGCTCGTTGGTGTAGTGGTTTAAGGCATCAGGTTAGAAACTGGGAGAGCATGATTTCTACTTCTACCTTAGGCATGAAGCCAACTGGGTGCCTTTAAACCAGTCACTTAGCCTTAGGTTTGCTGGATAAGTAATATTTTGAACAAATTTAGATACATATTTCTCCTGCTATGTAAATTATTATATGTTTATATAAAAGAAGTAAAATAAAAATAAATGTGATATTATTACTTTTATCCCATCATTATCAGTAACAGTAAAAATAATATATAATATTTGTGAGTTTATATAAAGAAAGAAAGTGTTTCTGGAAATGTAGCATATTAAATTTTCAATACTCCCTCATATCCAAATCCTGAACATAAGGTTTATAATACATGCAAATAAGATATGCTACAGAAGAATAACTTTAATTTTTAATAAACATTCTTGATGGATAAAATTCTTTTTTTCTCCTTGCTTTTAAGTTTAAATTGGTATGGTATAATGGGAGACTTTAAATCACAGATGCCACTTTACTTAGAAAAAATTCAAATAACATATAATTTCCCTTGAAGAATTCTGTTTCCTTTATTATCTACACTGAAACACAGCTGTGTGCAAAATCTTTAAAATGTAACTATGCTGGGGAGGGGGACAAGATTGTATGGTAATTAAGCTATGTACTAGGATATTTATGAAGGACACTAGAAGTAATTCTTAGTTTTCATACATTTTTATTGGTATACTTTAAAACTCATTAAGTGGTCACTCAAAATATGTATATGAAAGAAAGGACTCTTTTAACATCTAGCAAACCCATCTAGACCATCTCTCTCTCTCCCTGTCTCCCTCTCCCCCACCCTCTCTCTGTTGTGTATATGTATATGTTCGTGTGTGTGTATAATTTTATTGCTTTTGAAATAATAACAGAAAAAAACAAAAAGGAAAATGAACAATACATAAGAATTATAAAAAAATCATAAGTGAAATTTTAGAATTACTTCTAGCTTATACTTTGCACAAATACAAATAACATGGTAAAGGTTCAGTTATTTCACTAATAAACACATACATTCACAATTATTAATGGAAGCCTGGATTATATACCATTTTAAGAATCAATAGTCATGAGTTGGAAAGGCAGGTTCTATCAAATTCTTGTTGGAGATTTTTCAGATAAGATCATTGATCAGGATAGATATTGATGCATTATTTCACCCGTAAAAATGTTATTTGTCACTTCCAAATTCATAATCATAACTTTAGTGTAGTTCTGTGCTCTATACCTGTCCCAGGTGAAATACTACATTTATTCTTCTTTTGGAAATTAATGTTCATCCTCCTGATATCAAATATTTTTTGTAATACAAAATAGGTAGAAGTGTCCCGGCATTTAAAACCATTTTTCTCAGTATTTTAATATTAATTTGTAAATGTCATCATATTTCCTCTTAATAAAAATTCTGCTGGAGCCCTTGGGAGAATGTTCAGACTTCTGATACAATTGTTGTGTGGCAGCTTAAAAAAATATATTGCCTAAGTTCCTGAATCTCTGGAATCCATTATACCGGTATTACACATACAAATTTGTCCACGTAGACTTTGAATATAGGGTCCAACAACTGTCTGCCTATGGAAATACAATTCTACATATTCATAGTATAATATTAGAGAACTGAAATTTTAACTGTCGGCTAGTAGGAAATCTGTCTGAGTGGTTTATTCAAGCGTACAACCGTGCATTTAAAATAATGTGTTTGTTATTCTTCTGCTACTCATGTACCAGTTCTGGTTTCCAGATCTGTTTTCTAAAAAGAGCTATTATGTTTAAGGAAAGAACAACTATATTATGGAAGAAATTTAAAAAGATAACGATACTACTAATAATTCTGGCTTTTCTTGTGCATTCTAGAAATATTCAATTTTTATTTTTCAACGTGTGATTTATTTTCCTAGAGTTCTTTCTTGGACTCTGTATTTTCTGTATCAAGCCAGCTACTAAAATGGAATAGTACTTTCTGGGCTTGATTTGGTGTCATAAAGTTTGACCTTAAGACAGAGAGTATGGTTCAGATTTTGCAGAATATATTTTCAGTTCAGTTCAATTTTTTTTTTTTACAAATGCGAAAGTTCTAAAACAATCTTTGGGGGAAAATGTATTCTCCATAGCTTAGACCTGTTCAATTCACAAGAATATCACTTTTTGGTTTTAACTTTGTCATTTTTTCATTGTATATCAAATGTTTTAGTTTTAGTTTACTTTATTGTCATTGCATCTTGTACAATGAAATCAGAAACTTAAAACTGGCCACGTGCTCCACTCGGTCTCCGTTGATAAGCAAGGGCTGGATGTCTGATCTGTTCCTTCTATAATCCACTATAAGCTCCTTGGTCTTATTGGTGTTGAGGACCAAGTTGTTGTCTCCACACCACGAAAGCAACCGGTCCACTTCATCTTGGTAGGCAGACTCATCCCTCCGGAGAAAAGTCCCACCACTGTTGTATCATCTGCAAATTTAGCAGTAGTATTACTAGTGGGAGTGGGAATGCAGTCATGCACATAAAGAGTATAGAGTAAGGGACTCAACATGAACCCTGTGGTGTACCAGTGTTAAGAATAAGGGCTGAAAAGGTATGATTACCTAATCTGACCCTCTGTGAGCGGCCAGACAGGAAATCCATAATCCAAAGGCAGATTAAGAATAAGAAAGGCAAAGGTCCAGAAGTCTATGTGGACACTAGTCTATGTGGAAGAATTGTGTTAAATGCAGTACTAAAATCCGCAAAAAGCATCCTCACATACCCCCCCCCCCCCGCTGTTCTAGATGAGTCAGAGCAATGTGAAGAGTGATGGCTATAGCGTCCTCTGTAGATGTATTTTTTTCTGCAAACTGGTATGTATGCAGAAGACCAGAAATGATGTGACAGCAGACCAATTTCTCAAAGCACTTCATGATGATAGGAGTGAGTGCCACTGGTCTGTAATCGTTGAGGTTACTGATAGGGAACTTCTTTGGCAGAGGAACAATGGTGGAAGCCTTCAAACAAGATGGAATAGTGGACTGGGGTAAAGACCAATTGAAGATCCTGGTAAAGACTCCAGCCAACTGATCATTACAGTCTTTAAGCACACAGCCAGAGATACCGTCAGGACTGGCAGCCTTTCTAGGGTCCACAGCCCTCAGAATGCTCCTCACCTCCTGTTCCTCCACAATGAGGTGGGGGCTACAATTGGCTGGTGGTTGTATTTTATCTGTCTCTGATGTCTCTACTTCAAAGCGAGCAAAGAAATGATTCAGTTGCTCTGCCAATGAAGCATCCCCCTCAGCAGGGATGACATTGGTCGATTGATGGTTTGTAATTTGTTGAATCCCTTGCCACATCTGCCTCATGTTATTGCAATAAAAATTATCCTCAATCTTCCTCTTATAATCAGTATTGGCCTTCCGAATATCTTTCTTCAGATTAGCTCTGGCAACACTGTATCTTGCCCCATCACCAGACCTAAAGGCCTTGGTCCTGTCACGCAAGAGGCGCTGGACTTCCTTGGTCATCCAGGGTTTCTGATTGGGATAGATCCTAATATGTTTATCCACAGTGATAGTATCTGTGCAGTGTTTGACATAGCACAGAACAGTTGCAGTGTGCACCTCTAAGTCAGGGTGGTAAAAGATGTCCCAATTTGTGTTCTCAAAACAATCCTGTATTTGAGAAGCATCTTCTGGCCAAGATTTCACTGTCTTTATTATAGGCAGAGCCCGTGTCCTAAGAGGGATGTATGCTGGTTCTAAAAGCAGTGACATATGGTCTGATTGTCCCAAATGTGGTAATTGTATAACCTTATAGCCATGTTTGATGTTGGTATATACTTGTCTAATATGTTTGCTCCTCTAGTAGCACACTTAACATGCTGATAGAATTTAGGGAGCACTTCTTTTAAACCAGCTTGATTAAAGTCCCCCGCTATGATATGCACAGCATCAGGATATTTATTCTGCTGATTACTAACAATGTTATACAAGAATCCCAACGCTATGGTAGTATTGGCATCAGGTGGGACATAGACTGCAGTAATCAAAACCACGCTGAATTCCTATATATTTTGATATATGATATATGAATGTCTATGTATTTATGAATGTATGTATATTTCCAGAAAACATTAGAAAATATATTTGCTCACTTTTTAGTCATGTAATTTACAGAAGTATTTTGAGAAATAAATATTTAAAATAAGTTATCCAGAATTATTTTAAAAATAGTCTTTCCAGTATTATATTGTAGTGATAGCAACTTCAGAAATTTGAAAACATTTTGTACTATCCATAGCTTTCAAAATCTCCAATTACTATTTAAAATCTGCATACTTCTTTCTTTTAATTTAATCCCAAAAGATCTGTATCTGAAGGAAGATCTATGCAGGGTATTGTTTGGAGAGAAATACATCTGTACGGATTGACTGTTCTTTGTTCAGTTGTTCAGTAATTTATAGTAAGGTATGAAGTGTGTGTAGTGTGTGAATGTTTTTAACACCAAAAAAATAATAATTATATGTACATGTATATGTGTGTGTATAAAAGATTCCCTTTCCCTTAATATTAACTTCATCTGCCAAGGATCTTCTTTATAACTAATTCAGTGTTTTTCCATTGCAGGTCCTAAATGGCGGAGAATCATGTATTGTCTGAACCTTATTGGACAAAAAAATATATATTTATAAATATAGTAAATAATGAAAATTAGTTTTATGGACTTCTTCTTTTATCAAAAACAATTTTATCAAAAATAAAATTGTATATATAGAAACAGGTTAATGTTGTATATTAATACTTGGGATATGTTATTTATATTTCAGCTGGGAAGTTCTGAGATTTCTTCTCTCCAATTTAAGATGGTGGATAGAAGAGTATGCCTTTGATGGGTTTCGATTTGATGGTATATCATCTATGCTATATCACCATCATGGAATTGGTAAGTTTAATTTGTATATCAGTGATCATACCACAATTCAAATAATTGAGAGTTTTATCTGAAAAACCTACAGTAAATCCTATAACTTGCACTTACGGCACTTGACACTGTTATTATTTATCATATTAGGTGAAGGCTTTAGTGGAGATTACAATGAATATTTTGGTATGCATGTTGATGAAGATGCAGTGGCCTACCTAATGATGGCAAACTACATGATACATATTTTGCATCCAGAATGTATAACTATAGCAGAGGTAAATCTTAGATTACATTTACACAATTACTTTGACTTATTTATTTGAAAACTTTTTTGAACAAATCATTATTAAGTTACAGTTATATTAATTTCAGTTTATTAATGCTTAAGCATGATGCAGGATTTGTTAAACATTTTACTAGTTTCAGTTATAAAACTAAATATATGCTGTAAAGTATATTACTGTTCAAGTGTATTCCAAGGCAAATCCTACTGAGTTCAGACATACATCAGCAAGTATTTCTAAGGTGCAGCCTAAATATAATATGATCATTAGAATTGTTCCAAAAGTGTTTTTTCAGTTTCTGACAGAACTGAAGAAGCTTCGTGGATAAGAAGTAAAATGTCTTCAAGGAAAAACAAAATCCAGTTGCCTTTTGAAAAAGGACATTTGGGATCACTATAAGTTGGATGACTGAGAATCTCCATAGAGATCACTAGAATTATAATTCTTTTAAACAATGAACTTTGTCATGACTTAACTCTTCTATAATGTATTTATGACTTTGGAAACTCACTATACTGCCAAGGCAGCTAATTTTTTATGTATCTGTCTTTGTAACAGCAATCTTTATGAACACCTAATGTTCTTCCCATTTCTAAATCATTATGACTAATGTTAGGTATGTTTAATTCTTTGTCCATGAATTATAAATAACAATATATTTGTCAGAATTACATTTAGAAGATATTGCTAGAATTTCTTAAAAGTATTCTTAAAAGTAAACAGGTACTAGAAATCTTTATATATTTTTATTTCTTAGTGTTTGTTTTTAACTGTTTAACATTTAAATTGTACTGGTCATGGTCCTGGAGAAGTAATTACAGTGCATTTTAAACAAAAACAGGTGAAATGAAGCAACTATGGAATATATTAAACTTAAAATTGTTTTATTGATTTTGAGGTTCTTTTCAAATAAAATGAATCCATCATCCAGTGAGCCTTAATAAGGTGATCAAGATTCCTATCTTATAATCTTTTTGCATTTTCTCATATACTTTTTTGTAAAAAAGATGTTCCTTCAATTTATTCTAGTTAAACTGAAAATTACTTCAACTTTATTTTCTAGTGGGAGCCTCTGTACAAAATGTGGAATTGATCCACTTGCTTGTGGCAGAAATAAATTGAGAGGGAAGAACTATTGATATTATTCTAAATTGCAAGTGCCTAACGTGAATTTGATCTTAAATGCAAGTGAAGTGAATTCTAAAGAAACTGCACACATATAGTCTAGGGCAAATTGGTTATACTATTCCATAAAGATTCCATAACTTATATAACTTTTTAAAACTATTGTGGGTACTTTCCAACAAAAGTATTGATAATATTCTAAATCTGGAATGGGACATCTCATCCTGGCCAATTTGCTGTGGCCAACTTGCCATGGGATAATTCAATGCGGGTAACTCAAGAGAGAAGTAGAATTGCAGCTCATCTTCAGTCCTGAGAAGCTTCAAACCTAAAGCAAGACATGGCCCGCTGCAATTCATTTGTCCCTTTCTTGAGTTATCCTGCATTGAATTGTTCCACAGTGAGTGGTCCCGGGATGAATCAACTGGGGCAAAATAGTGGGGTGAGTCAACTAGGACAAGTTGTCTACTTCTGTTATAATAGCATGCAATTAATTATTAGCAAGTGAAAAGACAGTTTGAAGAGTCATCAAACTGTTGTCCTTTATTAGTATTTTCATTAGTGCGTATTTCAAGTACATTTCATGTACTGACTAATATTCACAGCATTTTGCAGCATGAGAAAAAAATATGAATAGGAAGCAACATGCTTTCATAATATTTATGCCATAGAAATTGCAAATTAATGAATTGTGATTCTTTAATATTGAATGAGATTGAAAATATTTTCATTATTTATGACGAATAGTAATTCTTCTGGTGGAACTGTCTCCTTATTTTCAATTCCAGATATTCTTATTTTATAATGTTTCATTACTTGTCAACTAACTTCAAATAATTCTTCCAGGAGGTGTCTGGAATGCCAGCACTTTGTTGTCCAATAATTGAAGGAGGATGTGGATTTGATTATCGGATGGCCATGGGAATTCCTGACAAATGGATTCAGGTGAGAATAGATTCATTCCATGCTTTGCCACATTTTTCACTCACGGTTCCATATGTAAATGTAAAGGTTTCCCCTGCCCACTTGTATCCGACTCTAGGAGGCAGTGCTCATCTTTGTTTCTTAGCCGAGGGAGCCAGCATTGTCCAACGATGCTTTCATGATCATGTGACTAAAAGGACTATACGTTGAGGTGGATGGAATGCTGTTACTTTTCCACTGAAGTGATTATATTTATCTACTATATTTGCAAGCTTTCAAACTTGTAGGTTGACAGGAGCTGGGGAGAGTAATGGAAGCTCACCCCATCATGTGGTGCTTGGGTCTCGATAGCCCAGCATCTTAATTGCTAGGTCACCATATTCCCATTTTACCATACATGTAATTAAATAATATCAAGTAATTATAATATGACACTTGCGTCTATGAACTGGGTTTCCATAATTTAGACAAGTAAAATGTAGTAATAATTCACTTACTCACTCCACTTCTCTGTTGTAATTTTTTTTACCAAAGAAGGAAAATGTCTTCTATATATATTTAGCCAAATTTCCCAATTTGTGTTTTTAGCATCTAATTAAAACTCTCATGTGTATTGGAATTACAGCTCCCATCTTTCTCAGCCAGAGGTCTCAAAACTAATCTGAAAGCTTCAGAAAGTTATGCTTGTATAGTATACTAAGCTTTGTGTCTCCAAAGTTCAGTGTAACATAAGACTAATTATTCTATAATTATATTTGATTGTTTGGCTTTTACTTTTGTGGTTTTGTGGACAGAATTTTGATAATCCTTACAGCAAGCTTAACTCCTAACAAAATGGAGATTAAAAATGTATCTGTTATGCACATGAAATTGTATAATGATTTTATAATACATTAATTGCATATTTATGAATCTAGCACCTTAACTATTGCTAAACATATTTGTACGAAAAGCTTGCCAATGTTGCACTCTAGTGATAAAAACTAAGAGCAAATATTTTTAATTTCTTTAAGAACAAAAACAAAAAGATGAACACTAAACAGATTTAAGCTTTTCAGGGAGGTTATTAATGTTTCCATCTATAGAAATAATGGAATTTTAGAAAAATTATTTCAGAAGCATTACTATAAATTAAGACATTGCACCTTTGTACAGATCTGTGTTATAGGTTAACATAATAGTATGTATCTTGAGTCAGGCCTATATGTAGGAGTGTAGTATAATAATTATTTTATCTTTGAAATATATGCAGTTTTATATAGCTTGAAATATATATATATTATTCTAAAGCACAATTCATTTCTTAGGTATTTAAACACATACTTTTGAAACAAATTTGATCTATTTTCCAGTGGACAGAATATATATTTCAGGATATATTTTCCCTATCATTAGGGAATTTCTTTTTTCATATTCTAAAAATGTTATCAGATGGCATCAAAGGCATATTGCTAGTACAGATAATCTATTAATTGGAAAAAAACTCATTCTTGTGCAGTTGTAAATCTATAAACCATGAACCACAAGACAAAAATTTTCCTAATGTAGTCTGACTTCATTATATCAGATGATATTTCGGTTTGTTATCAACTAATTCTTGCAGAACAGTGGAAAAAGAAATCTTTCTATTTCTTCTCTTTACGTTAGATGCAGCTTAAAGATTTGGCATTGTTTCTTGTCCAGATATTCATACATTCTTATTTGTTTGTGCTTTTAATTTCTTCAAAATTACATGAGACACAGGTGCTATTGTTTATAAAATAATTTCAAAGTGTAAAAAAGGGGAAAAATTAAAAATAATAAAAGTCAGATGTGACATAGGCAAATTGTCATGTTACTTCTCAATAAGGTTCCTAAATGATTTATACAGGATGCTGTAAATAAAAGATATATAGTACATGTCAGTGCTATGGAAATTTAAAGAAGAAAAATATAAAGCTTTGTTTCTTTTAGTGATTAAAATTGAAGATTAGAAAAGTTTGTGTTTGCCATGTGTCCTTCATAGTCTTGATTTGTATTTTTAATTAACATATTTCATATTTTAGCAGAATTTATATTTTATGTTTGTCTTCGTTTGGATAGGATTTCCTTTTTATGTTTTGGTTTTAATAGCAAATCTGATTCTGCTTTAGGTTAACATGAGCTTTCACAATGATGTTCATTGTGTTTACAATGTTCTTGTGATTTCTGCTTTATAGGATTTTGTGCTTTCTTTAACATACAGAATAACTCCATTGCTAATACATATTTCCACATCTTATTTCATAGCTTATATTTGTGATAATAATAACTCACTGATTATTCAATTTCAATTATTCAATTTCCACCAAAATTCTATAAATATATAATAATTATAATTATAATATATAATTCTATATAATGCTTGCTAGATTGAACAATTTAACTCATTTTAGCACAGAATTTGCTGGTACTTTGGTTCCACCCAAGTATCTTAAGACCATTCTATCTAACTAGCCAAGAAATTATCTGTCCTACATGCAAATCCTTTCATCATCTTTTTATTCTTGACTAATTGAGGCTTCCAGTTATTCAAGAAAAATAGAACAAGGGACCTTGGAGGTCTTCTAGTCCACCCTCTGCTCAAGCAGGAAACCCTATATCATTTCAGGCAAATGGTTTCCAATCTCTTCTTAAAAACCTCCAGTGATGAAGCAGTCGCAACTTCTGGAGGCAAGTCCTTCTACTGATTAATTGTTCTACCTGTCCATACAGGAGGTGACCAAAGCATAAGTGACTTTCCACAGTAAAGTTAAATATATAATTAGCAATGTCTAAAGTTTTCTGCCATCATTTTTGTTAAGCCTGGATTCCCCAACGGGTGTTAAGGAAAACAAACTAAACAGAACGTGCAGCGAAGTCAGATAGGAAGACAGGTAAATGTGTGAGATAAGTTTTCTAGTTAACACGCAGTAAAAATACAGATACGCTTGTGCTATCAAAAATATAGTTTATTCCATTTAAGAATTATAGCATAGTCAAACAAACGGTCCATTAGTCTTGTCGAGGATACTCTATTTGCAAAATCCGTGTTGAGTAGCCAATGTCAGTACACTTACAATAAATCAGTCCAATCATTATCTTCTCTCCGTTGAGAAATATCAACACTCCTTTTTCTCTCCCCCTTCCATCAAGAATGCATCCAGTAATTAGGGATCAGTAAGCCAGAGAGAGCGAGCTGCATTTGCCTCGCTTCTTAAATAGTGCTTTTACAACCACACCCTTAATTACATTCTTGCTGTTAAAGTTACACACACTTTAACTAACAAACCATGATACCATATTTATTATTTTTACCCAAACCAGTTAGGGTAAACAATGTTATCCCTAACAATTTTGACATTGTAATATCAGATTACATCATTGTGGTATTTATTGTTATTTTTTATTTGCACAATACTCTTCATATATTGAATGAAGGCAAACATACACGTCCCAGGATAATGTTGCTGGATCCAGTCTGGGTCAGTCATTGGGATCAGAAGTTTATTCTTCCAAGCTTTCAGACCATGCTGGAGCCCATCCTCAGGGCGCTTCTCTCTAGGGGAGTGTGTGCTTTGGGCTATTCTGTGTGTCATATTTATAAGGTACCTGGTTGTGTATGGCTTTTTAGTTGTTGATTGGGGTTCTGATGGCCACCTATTAAGTTGTTGGCTTAATTTTTTTCCTTGTGCGCTTGTCTCCTGAGTACTTGATAAGCTGGTGGTAAATCAGCACTCCTGTTGATCAATTCTTCCTATATTGTATGCTATAAAATTAAATACATAGAAATAATTTACCTTATTTCAATTAGAGCTAATACATTAATCAAAGGATTATACAGCATTGCATAGCAAGAAACAGACAGATAGAGTGGTAAAATTTGTGTTTAATCAACCATAAAAATGATGGCGTGTAGCCCCTACTGTTTACAGAAATAGAAAGAAAATGAATTTAAGATATGCATAGTTAATAAGTTGTTGGCAGACATTTTGGAAGAAAAATAATGCTTTACTTCAGTTATTATGTATATTAAAAGGTAAACATTTTCAAGACAAGCACAACTTTATTAGTAATTTTATGAAAAAGTCCTTGCTATTTTCTTGGATATGATAGAAGCATAATTTTCTCCTTTTTTGGTATGTGTGTATGTGTGTGTGTGTTATTTTTTACTTCTGATTTTAGTTTACAGCCATGCAATTTTCTGAAGATTTCCTTTTCAATTATTAAGTAGGTCTGACTTTGTTTGAATTGTTTCAACAAACCAAGATTAGTCATGTTTTGTTAATTGTTCTGTGCTATATTAATTGTGCTATGATGTGAAACTGGACCAGAATCACATCCCACACGCAGTAACCTAACATTTCCAAATGTATGTAAGAAACACTGATCATGAACAGTTCAATACCATAGGATAAGTTGAAAAAAATGATAAAATAATTCAAAATTATCAAAATTTTCATTTTCAGATAATTAAGGAGCGTAAGGATGAGGATTGGGACATGGGAAATATTGTGTTTACTTTAACAAACAGGCGATATGGAGAGAAGTACATTGCCTATGCAGAGAGTCATGATCAGGTATTGTAACAATTCAGCAGTTCATGCCCACAACAATTAGAATTAAATTGCAGCTATCCATCTTTAAAATATAAAGGAGAAAGAGAGAGAAAAAGAAATATGAATTACATTTTTTAAGAAAAAGATTCAGTTTTTAAACACAGCATTACAGAAAGCCAGTACATATCATCCATCCATGACTGGAAATCTGGAATGACATTGTTTTTTTCTATTGTAAAAGAGATATGTTTTGTTATGCCCGATGCTTGATAGATATATAGTACTTCAAATAATAATATATTCCAGATGGTTTGTATGTGGTTCAGAATCAACTTTAAACCATATTATTTTCTCCAAAAATCCTATTAAGAAAGTATGAATGCTAACTCAAATGGGACAATACTGAGATGAACCCACCCTAGCCAGCCTATACAAAATCTGAAATTAAAATATAACAAATGTCTGAAAAATTATTCTTTCTATCTCTTGTTTTCTCTCTCTCTTGTGGATTTTTCTATTTATTGCTACAATTAAGGACCTGATGGACTATAATAGATAATCCAGAAGTCATGTCTTGAAACTGCATCAGATTTTCCTTAAATTAAACCTATATTTCATGGGTATATAATATAATGTAGAAATAAGTATCCTCGTCCTCCTCCCCCTCCTTCTCCTCTTGTGCACACCTTCCTGGCCCATCCACAGCCAGCCAGGGGGTTGTGAGAGGGAGAGTGGGAGGAGGAGGGAAACCTCCACTGCGGCTTGTGCTTGTTCCTCAGCCAGCCCTGATTCCCAAAAGGAAGAAATAAAAAGGGATAGCAAAGAGCCCCAAGAAGAGCACGCAGGGCTTTCTGAGGAAGTGAGAAGAGACACAGAGACAGGGAGTGAGGGAGGGAGAGGGAGAGAGAGAGAGAGATACAGAGAGAGAGAGAGAGAGAGATGCAGAGAGAGAGAGACATGCAGAGAGAGAGACATAGAGAGAGGGAGAGACATGCACACACACACACACACACACACACACACACAGAGGGAGACCAGCTGACGGGTGAGCGTCTTTTCTGAGGGCCCTTCATCTTTTTCCAAGCCTGACCCCAGGGTGGGCATGCGAGGTTCAGTGGGGCCAGCCCCCTTTTCTTGCTGCCCTGAGCGTCTTAAAGCTGCGGATAGGCGCTGCAGGCCATCCCCCTTTCCATCATCCCAGATCCCATTCCTACCGCACCAGCCCTCATGTTAGCGAGGCCGGATCAGTCACGGCCAGGTTGGGCCAGTGTCTCAGGGCAGAGAGCAGGTTACGCATCTCCCCAAGTGACTGAGGCATGCCCAGCACCAAGGGCCGGAAGAAGCTCCAGCAAGAGTGAGGCACTGGAGAATCAGCCCCAGCCTCTTCTCCTTCTCCACTGTCGCCCTTACCTTCTCAGGCCAGGCAAGGAGTGGGAGGGGAGGACAAGGAGTAGAACCAGCCAGTGATGGGACAGGGAGCCACAGCAGAGGGCCCAAAGAGACGCATGCAGCTCTAGAGCCGCAGGTTGCTGACATCTGACCTATACGATGTTTTTAATTTATGTCCTATAAAACATTAATCTCATAAAAGTTTTTTTTTCTCTGCCTCATTTTCTTCCTCATTTATGTATTTACCAAGGCCCTTGTTGGTGATAAGACTTTGGCTTTTTGGCTGATGGATGCAGAAATGTATAACTATATGAGTGTTCTGTCACCTTTCACACCAGTTATTGATCGAGGGATACAGCTTCATAAAATGATACGTCTCATTACTCATTCTCTTGGAGGAGAAGGCTACCTCAATTTCATGGGTAAGTCATTTGGGATATTACCTTCTGATTTCCTTCAGCATAGTACACCTTGTGATGATATTTTCTTTTACAAATTGGACATATTTATTGAACTTAGCTAAAAGTTAAAGCATAGTATGATCCTCTGCATGTATAATGAGGATTTCCATTAATTTCCATGGATCTTGCTCTCAGTTGAGGTGATAGTCAATAGCAACCTAAGTATGATTATAATTCATAGACAGTTGATTATGCTGTATAATTGACCTTGGAAGACACTTGTGTTTGTGCTATTTGCACTTCTTATCAGCTTCAAGAATAAATTTCTGCATGGCTAGTTGAAGATTAGGCAGAAAATATATACACTGCTCAAAAAAATAGAAGGGAACACTTAAACAACACAATGTAACTCCAAGTCAATCACACTTCTGTGAAATCAAACTGTCCACTTAGGTAGCAACACTGATTGACAATCAATTTCACATGCTGTTGTGCAAATGGAATAGACAAGAGAAAGCATAGGCAGTTAGCAAGACATCCCCAATAAAGGAGTGGTTCTGCAGGTGGTGACCACTTCTCAGTTCCTATGCTTTCTGGCTGATGGTCACTTTTGAATGCTGGCGGTACTTTCACTCTAGTGGTAGCATGAGACAACCCACATTAGTGGCTCAGGTAGTGCAGCTCATCCAGGATGACACATCAATGCGAGCTGTGGCAAGAAGGTTTGCTGTGTCTGTCAGCGTAGTGTCCAGAGCATGGAGGCGCTACCAGGAGACAGGCCAGTACATCAGGAGATGTGGAGGAGGCCGTAGGAGGGCAACAACCCAGCATCAGGACCGCTACCTCCGCCTTTGTGCACGGAGGGACAGGAGGAGCACTGCCAGAGCCCTGCAAAATGACCTCCAGCGGGCCACAAATGTGCAGGTGGCTGCTCAAATGGTCAGAAACAGACTCCATGAGGGTGGTATGAGGGCCCGACATCCACAGGTGGGGGTTGTGCTTACAGCCCAACACCGTGCAGGACTTTTGGCATTTGCCAGAGAACACCAAGATTGGCAAATTCGCCACTGGCGCGCTGTGCTCTTCACAGATGAAAGCAGGTTCACACTGAGCACATGTGACAGACGTGACAGGGTCTGGAGACATCATGGAGAACGTTCTGCTGCCTGCAACATCCTCCAGCATGACCGGTTTGGCAGTGGGTCAGTAATGGTGTGGGGTAGCATTTCTTTAGGGGGCCGCACAGCCCTCCATGTACTCGCCAGAGGTAGCCTGACTGCCATTAGGTATCGAGATGAGATCCTCAGACCCCTTGTGAGACCATATGCTGGTGCAGTTGGCCCTGGGTTCCTCCTAATGCTAGACCTCATGTGGCTGGAGTGTGTCAGCAGTTCCTGCAAGACAAAGTCATTGATGCTATGGACTGGTCTGCCCATTCCCCAGACCTGAGTCCAATTGAGCACATCTGGGACATCATGTCTCGCTCCATCCACCAACGCCACGTTGCACCACAGACTGTCCAGGAGTTGGGGGATGCTTTAGTCCGGGTGTGGGAGGAGATCCCTCAGGAGACCATCTGCCACCTCATCAAGAGCATGCCCAGGCATTGTAGGGAGGTCATACAGGCACGTGGAGGCCGCACACACTACTGAGCCTCATTTTGACTTGTTTCAAGGACATTACATCAAAGTTGGATCAGCCTGTAGTGTTTTTTTCCACTTTAATTTTGAGTGTAACTCCAAATCCAGACCTCCATGGGTTGCTAAATTTGATTTCCATTGATAATTTTTGTGTGATTTTGTTGTCAGCACATTCAACTATGTAATGAATAAAGCATTTAATGAGAATATTTCATTCATTCGGATCTAGGATGTCTTATTTTTGTGTTCCCTTTATTTTTTTGAACAGTGTATATATATATATATATATATCCTCATCGAAGTATGTTGCGTCTCATCTACATAAGTAGATAAGGAGTAATTGATGAGTTCTCTCTCTCTTTTTCCTAATAAAAATAGTCTGACTGCCCAAACCTTTTTGGAGACAGTAGTCATTATTTTGTAGTCATTCAGATGATACATGTGGTATATGTTGTTGTGCTAGTGCTATTCAGTTAAAGATGCAGTAAAATGACTTGTTATTGCTTTTTAAATGAAACTTGTACTAGATAATTAGAAGAAAGCATTTTCACATTTTTTCCAACTTCTGACTTGCTTAATATTGGAACCCTGCTAAGGACACAACATATGATTTTATTGTGCCAGGGATTTAATTTTATATACCTGTGTAATGTATGGAACCAAATTCCTGAAAACTATATTTGATACAATTGGTGACATACAATTTTGGAAAATATCTTGCCTTTCAATCTCATCACAGCTAGATAAACCACAAAGGGACTGTTATGAATGGTACTTAAATCAGCTGACTAGTTTAGGAAAACCAACTTAGTCAATATATCAATAATATTTTGTTGGAATAAGTTTAGAGTAAGCAATACTCTTTCTAAATTAAGAAACAAAAATGAAAAGTTCTTTTTAAAAAGGGCATAGAGTATCATATAGCAAAATGAAAATATTACTGAAAATGCTGAAACTGCAAAGATAGGGTTGGTGAAACTAAAGACCGGTATGTTTTGCTATGATAGTGAAAAATAACAAAAACAGGCTTTTCGGTCATAACTCAAACAAAAGGAAAATCAAGAAAGCATAAGTCGTAACTGATAAGCTAAGTATGCTAGAAAAGGGGCAAGCAAAGAACATGCTGGCTTGATAACTTTAAATCTGATGCAAAGCTGAACATCCAACAATTGAAAGAAGCTGTGCTTAACGGTAACATGGGGACAACTTGTCTATAAAGTCACCAAGGTTTGGAGACAACTAAATGGTTAAAAACAACAAATAAAAACAACGTTTTTGATGCAGTTTGTGATGCAGTATCCATGCTGGTTGTGGACAGAGTTTGAAGAAAAGTAAGGAGGACCAATATTTGTAAATACTTTGACATTTTATTGCATTTTCCTTATTGTACAAGTGACAGTTTAATTCTGCAATGTGATAAAATTTAAAGGACAAAGTAAATAGAATGAAAGTGAATTGGGAGATCAAATTGAACATTATTTCCTGGCATAAAGTGCTAATTCATTACTTTTATCACAAATATCCAATTTTAAAGGAGTATTTTTTTTTCCTATTATCATGTATTGCACATATCATACTTTCATATTTCCTTGCTTTTTATTTCTTGAAATTGCAGTTTGTATTTTTGAAAAGGAAATAATGATCATTTTGTTGTTCAATGAGCCATTAAATATGTAACAATCTAGAATATATAATGTCTTATGTACCGTATTTGCCGGCGTATAAGACGACTGGGCGTATAAGACGACCCCCCAACATTTCCACTCAAAATATAGAGTTTGTTATATACTCGCCGTATAAGACTACCCCCTCTTCCACACACCTTCCACTTTTGCACTTTTTTTTTTTGACGCACTTTTCTGCTTTGGACAATTTTGAAATGAGCTAATCCAATTTTGAACCAAGAATATGCCAATAGCTATGGAGTTTAGAAATGAGTTTTAAAAATATTTTTCATTGCTTACCATTAAGCGTAAAATATGTTGTAAATAAAATGAGAACACAGGAAACGTTCTCTTCTCAATACAGCTGATCTCTCTCTCTCTCTCTCTCTCACACACACACACTTACACACACACACACACACACCAAAAACCCGGACACTGAAAAGGCTGCCAAGGAACAGTATATTCAATGCCTTCTCTTTAATCAAGAAACAAGGAATTCCTTAGAATCTTTTTTTTTCCCCAAGTGGCCCTCTTTAAAAAAATATATGGAGGTAACACTTTCATTCAAAAAGTCTTCCAGTATCTGGAGTCGCTCAGACATATTGAAGTGAGGCAGGAGAGTAAGTGAAATTTGAAATGATCCAGCTACAGTTTTCTTCCCCTCCCGCCCGAAGGCCATTATCTCCACATCAAAACGAACGAGGGGAGGCAAAGAAGCCAAACACGCTAAAAAGGATCTCTTTATTTTCCTACACAAGGTCACACCTACTTTTCCGCATTCAAAGGACAACCTCTCCTCACCACCACCACCACACACACACACACACACCAATACCCGCAAACAATGTTCTGGGCATTAATCACCATTGCTACATTAACCTGGTAAATTTATACCCTGCCTCCCCCAGTGTTGCTTTGACGGCAGGATTTCACACAGCAGGGCGCTCGCTCGCTCTCTTCTCCGCTCTCCCACCGTTCGCACATGTTGGAAGCACCGTAAAACCTGATAACCCACCCGGGGGCTCCCCCATCCTTAACCTACAGCCGCCCGCATGCAAAACCTGCGTGCAAAAAGAAAAAAAGAAAAAGAAAAGTACGCCGCACGTGAGGATCTTCGAATCCTCTCCTCCCCACACCGCTAAGGAAGGAAGAGGGGGAAAGGTTGCGCAGCGCGTGGCGAGTGACACCCGCCACACACACACACACACACACACACAC